AAAAAAAGAAACAGAAGTAGAGAACTATGCTTTTTGTGACTGTTGAAATCATGAAATAGAAATCTTGAGCTCTTCGGCTACCTTGTTTAAATATAAGACAGAGCATGTTAGGAATAGAAAGGTTATAATATTCCCACTTTATGTGAGGGGTTGGGGGGTTTGCCTTGCAATTAGGCTTTGGTCACCTGATACTTTTACAACTAATTATTAACTTTCTAGCAATTATTATGGTGGTGCTACAGCTTTAAAACCATTTCTCATTGATACTTTGAAGTTACTGGTATATTTTACATGATTATGGATTCTTTCTGATTTTTAGGCCTGTTTTTTCTTTCACTTAACTAAAAGAAATCCTGGGCTGGGCGTGGTGGCTCACACCTGTAATCCCAGCACTTTGGGAGGCTGAGGCGGGCAGATTGCCTGAGATCAGGAGTTCGAGACAAGTTTGGCCAACATGATGAAACCCTGTCTCTACTGAAAAATACAAAAAATTAGCCAGGCATGGTGGTGTGCACCTGTAATCCCAGCTACCCAGGAGGCGGTGGCAGGGGAATTGCTTGAACCAGGGAAGTGGTGGTTTCAGTGAGCTGAGATTGCGTCACTGCACTCCAGCCTGAGTGACAGAGCGAGAGTCCATCTCAAAAAAACAAAAACAAACAAACAAAAAAAACCCAGAAATTTCTGGTTAAATAATAGGACAAGGTCATATTTTCAGGAATATTATATGCCTATATGATAATTGAATTTTTCCTTTACATTTGATTTATTGGGAATATGTTTAATATGTGCTTAGGGATCAGGTGGCATTTTTCTTCTGCAAAAGCCATTTACGATTCCTACCAGATTTTGTTAATAAATGCCCCTCAGGTACCAACAGCAAATTGCCCTGATGCCACTGTGAAGTTGAAGAACTGAAAAGATTTGAATTAAAATTCTTCCTGGCTACCTTGCAATCCAAGGCAGTAGCTGAAAGAGGATGTGTACGGTTTCATTTGAGTCTTTGAGGAGATTCAGTAAATACAGAAAGTATTTGGTGACCACAAGAGTTAAAAATTGGATATGTAATACAGTAGCTTATGCCCACTCTAAATGTAGTTTTATTTTTCTCTCAGAAGTCAACAGCAAGTTCAGAAGTTTTTGAGGATAGACTTGGATTTCTAGTATATTCATTAGCGAGGCTAATTGTAGAAGTGAAATGATGGTAAACAGCATATGTGGGAGCCTTTACTCACAGTTATGTATATAATGTGGCTCAAAAAATGCTACATAGCAAATATATTGCTATGTATTTGATTTTATGGATATTGTTACCTAGAATGAGGTGAAAGGACATGTTTAGGTTTTTTTAAAGTGTGAAGTAAGTTAAAATAGTAAGAAGCGGTAATAGTGTGATGATGCCTGACCACGGCTGGAAGGCGGGTGCTGATGATGCACATTGGAAACAGACCTGGCTGCATCTCTGTCATCAGGGTCAGGAGGCAAAGAGCCTGTCGTTTCCAAGTTCTGGTGGGTTTTTTTTTTTTCATATCTTAATAACAAATAAACAAAAAGCCTTCTTAGCCGTTTAGAATAAGCATTTGGGGCCAAGGAGGACAGAGAGAGAAGCATTGAATTTACTCTTTCTCTTCAGTAGAATTAAAATTGCAGTCAGTTTTTCAATGTGATTTGTCAGAATAAATCTTTAACACATTACATGTAAATAAAAGGGAAAAAAAGCCCCTACCATCCAAATGGATGTTTGGATAATTTGATGAAGTCTATATTAACACTACTTCTTTTTTTTCTTTTTAATTGATATAAAATTTACATAACATAAAATTAACCACTTAAGTGAACCAATTGGGAGCATTTAGGACAGTGTAACTTACTAGCTCTATCTAGTTCTTAAACATTTTTATCAACCCACAATAAAGCCCCATATGCATATGCTCCCCTTTCCTCACTTGCCCCAGCTCTAACAACCCCCAGTCTGCATTCTATCTTTGTGGATTTGCCTATTCTGGATATTTGATATAAATGGAACCATGCAATATGCAGCCTTTCATTTTTTACTTCCTTCACTTAGTGTCATGTTTTCAGTACTGTGGCATTTGTCAGTGCTTCATTTCTTTTTTATGGTTGCATAGTATTCTATTGTGTGTATGTACCACAGTTTATCTGTTCATTCGTTGATGGGCATTCAGTCTCTTATCACCTTTTGACTGTTAATAGTGCCGTGTACATGTATTTGTTTGAGTACTCGTTTTTAATTCTCTTGGTTGTACACCTAGGAATGGCATTGCTGGGTCAGATGGTAATTCTCTGTGTAGCTTTTTAAGACCTGCCAAGCTTGTTCCACTGTGCCTGCATCATTTTACATTCCCATCAACAATGCATAAGGTTTCTCCATCCTTGCCAACACTTGTAATCACTTGCCATAGTCCTTTAAAAAAAATTGTAGCCATCTTAGGAATCACTTAGTTTTTGGCAGAAGTAAATGCCAAGGGAATTAAATTTTTAGCTTCTGAATATTATAGATAATGGTTACTGTAGCTCCTAAAATGCACATCACATCTCTTCTTTGGTAGGTGCTGGAACTCTCACAGTACTGCTACTTTTTTTTTTTTTTTTTTTTT